GATTTCACTCTTCTTTATAGCTGAATACTATAGCTCACATATTTTAACTCTAATTCCACTTCTGGGTACTCATTTAAGGAAATAATCTCTAATAAAGTTTTCATTTTATATACAAAAATGCGCTCAAATTTTCAATTAAAAAGTGAAAACAATAAGAGTAGAAAAACAGTTAAATACTGTAAACCTATTATTATTATTGTTATTATTATTAGGTCTTTCTCCATATTCATCCTGAGTCTACATAATCAACATTTTTTTTTTGAGACAGTGTCTCACTGTGTAGTCCAGCCTGGCCTTATCTCACTATGTAGCCAGGCTGGCCTCAAACTCCCTGCGATCCTCTTGCCTCAGCCTCCCAAGTGCTGGGATTATAGGCATACACCACCATGCCTGGTGCTTTGACATGTTTTGAAGCTATGCCTCCTTCCTGTTGCTCTGGTACCTCACCTATAGCTTGTACATAGTTCAATTACTATACTGCTGATAGAGTACGTTGATGTTTGTTTTATGTTCTAAATAATGAGATCCCTGAGGACAGAAACTACTTATATTCACATAAGTATCCTTAGCACATAGCAGTTAGAAATAAATTTTACAGAAATGAAGTAATAAATTACATAGGAGCCACACCTGGATGGGAATGTGGTCAACAAGGGAGGAATTTAAATTCTCTGAAGATCTAATAAGCAGAAATTGCAAATATAAGAAGGCATAAGAAACACAGTTCTAACCCAAGGGATAAAAGATTTCCTATTAGAGGATATAACAATAGTTGTATTACCCTGACCAAAGTATTTTTATGGAGGGAGTATTAACTACATGAAACAGATGAGAGTGACACTAAGTATATGGATAAGAACATGGGCTCTGAAGTGATAGAGACCGACAGCTGAGTCTTAGCACAGACTTAATCTCCTCATCCACAAAATAAAGGTGACAATATTAAAATCTTCCTCACAAACTTATAAAGGTTAACTAAGATGATGCATATAAAATTACTTAGCACACAGTAAGTATTTAATAAAAATTAACTATTATGATAATTTCTAAAACTTCTGGCCTGCACCCACCATCAGTTATTTCAGATGAGAAGGAAAGAAATGACCCAAAGAAACCTAAGCAGCAACTGTAGGAACCGTGAAGCTGTGGAATAAAAACTTCACATCCTGAGGGCACAGCTATATTCATCACGTTTTATTACTGGTGATCTGGACTCTGGAGAAGTAAAACAGATACATAAAGTGCAGACAATATTTAAGGATTGAATCTGGATTTTAGGTAAAAGAATGACTGTAAGTAAAGAAGTGAAAGACCAGAATAAATGAGTATCATGATACCTTGGAAAAAAATGCTTGGCTAGAAAATAATCCAAGTTAGCACTGTGTTGAAGGTGCTATGTTTTGTACCAGTTCAGCACACTAGTAATAATAATAGTAGTGGGCTGGGGATTTAGCTCAGTGGTTCCACCGCTTGCCTCGCAAACACAAGGACCCGAGTTCGATCCCCGGTACCAAAAAATAAAATAAATAAAATAATAATAATAACAGTAGTAGCAATAATACGGTAATGACAATAGCAGCAGTAGCTAATACTAAAGTACTTGCAATGTGCCAGGTACTATAAATGAATTACATGTGCTAACTCAGCCTATTAACTCTTTAGAAGAAAGCATTTAGGCTTAAAAGTTAAATCAAGTCTTATTTGGGCATGATGGCACATTTCCTCCTCCAGGAGGCTGAGGCAGGAGGATCACAAGCTCAAGCTCCAGCGTGGGCAACTTTAGCGAGACCCTGTCTCAAAATGAAAAAAAATTTTAAAAAGCACTGGGGATGCAACTCAGTGTGAAGGATTCAATCCCCAGTACTACAATCACACAAATCAAACCAAAGTAAAACAACCATAATAACATACAGGTCACAGGTAAGTCTTCCTTGCATTGATAACCCCATTGGTTACTTCATTTCTGAGTTTTAGTTTCCTCATGTCTAACTGGAGATGTGAATACATAGCCCACAGCGATAGTAATAAGCTTCACCATATATATATATATATATATGCTTAATATCTAACTCATAAGACCAGAGACATCATTCTATAAGCGTGAAAAGTAGAGCTTAAAAAGAAGACTCTACTCTTTTTTAATGAGTTGCTTTCATCCTCTTTAAAAAGGTAAACATTCTGTTTTTAAGTTTTTCTCAGCACCAATTACATGTGAATAAAATATAGAGTATTATAAAGATAAAAAGACTCAGGCTAGTTTTAAAGATTTTGAGGGGTTTTTTTTTCCTCCTAGGAATGGTAATGTTAAAAATACTACATTTCTGTAAAGTAAATAGTGCTGAAAAGAATGAAAACGGCATATGGCTGGGGGGATCTTCCAAAGAAACTACTCCACGCAGCCATCTCCTGTTCTTTTCTCTGCCTTTTAAGGTCACAGTAACATGATAGAAAATCTGGGACTCACACCATCTGTCCAGACAGTTCTACTACTGCTCATTTCTCTTGTTAAATAGTCAGAACACTTCACACTTCCAAAACACTGCTACTATAAAGAGCAGCTGAAGCAGAATGAAATAAGCTTTTTCTATCCAGAAATGTAGTAGTTGGAAATGAATAGTTCCTTTGAGGTTTGTGGATTATAGATCATGTCCGTGAGAAGAAAAATTCACCCCTTAGAAAGAAATTTAAGAGCAAAAAGACTCTAATACTAGCTCTAGAAATTATCTTTCTTGGAAAAAGGGTGATGCTCTTGTATGAGTTCCCTAAGAACTGACACAGCAGTTTTGCATTGAGATAATGGCACAGGTCTGTATATTTCTCATAAGACTAAGCAGAATAGTTTTCTTTCTTTCTTTTTTTTTTTTTGGTACTGGGGATTGAATTCAGGATCTTGCACTTGCAAAGCAGGAGGTGGAACCACTGAGCTAAATCCCCAGTGCTAGAATAGTTTTCTTTACTACCACTACTGTAACAAATTATTAACAGCAACTAATGGTTACTTAGCACTTGGGACGTCTTGACACCCTTCGAAGCCTAAAGCATTAACTGTTTTAATCCTTATAGCCACTCTATGTGGAAATTTCTATTATTATTTCCCATATTACAGTTGAGAAAACTTAGGCATAGAGGTAGGGAAACTTGTTCAAGGTAATACAGCTCACAAAATGTAGAGCCGAGATTCTAAAGTAGGCACACTTGCTCTGTGTCCTTATTTTTTGTTATACTATCTTACAGCTTTTAAAAAATGCTTCTAATTATAGATTAAATTGAGCATCTCTATATTTTGAAGAAACAAACTGTAGCTGAACATCACATTTGTTTCATTTATCTAGCCACAATGACTGTGTCAATTATACATTCATTAATTTATTAATTTCCAAATGTCTTACAATAAATTTACGTAGCACAAGGGAGTATTTTTTTTCACAAAGCAAAATAATTTTTTCTAATAAATAAAAGTTTGAAATATACTCTGGGATCAGTGTCAGTTTGGGGACACAGTACTTTATGACTTTGAGAAAAAAGTTTGGATTACTCTTAAACCTCCAGCACAAGTTCAATCTTACATGAAGATTTCTTGCCTTCAGGGTTCCAATCAGATAGGTCAGTGTACCCAGGAGAAAACAGAATGAATCCGGAATTCCTTGTCCGTGTTTATAGAATATTCTTCTTTATGCTCAGAGGCTCAAATTTATTATTAATAGAAGCCTCGGTCTCAGCTAGTGAGGTAAATTTATGCTATATTACCACAATAATGGCAGTAATGATAATAGTCACATTAGTAATTATAATATTAATATTAAGCAACAACATCAATGATAACCCCCTAAATACTGCTAAATTACTAAGTGCTAAGCACTACATTAAGTGATTCATCCTGTCTAGTACATTAGACAGGCCATGTGGGGTAGTGGTTAAAAGTATGAACTCTAGAGAGAGACTGCTGTCTGTCTGACTCCTTTACTTATCTGTGTGGTCTTGAACAAATAGTACTTAAATTCCCAGTGACTCACAGAATACCTATCTCCTAATGTGAGGATCAGATGGGTTAATATATGTAAAATATTCAGAACAGTGCCTAAACAGTAGTTATTACCTAAATGTAATAGATGAGGCACTTAATGTTCAGAAAAGCTGAAGGCCACAAATTAGGGTACAAATGAAGTTTCCCAGGTCTGTCTGACTTCAAAGCCCATGTTCCTGTGTCCCCATTCTCATTCTCTCTGTCTTATAATTGGCAGTGTTGTTCCTTTCTTAGTAGCATAAAAAATAATGGTGTATTTACAATGGATATTATCTTACAGTTGATAAAACATGGTACCTGGTAAGTTCAATGTGTATTCTTTAAGGATTAGGCCTCATCTATATCAAAGTTACCTTTGTTTTGTTCTGTTTGTTTTGTTTTGAGATAGGGTCTTGCTATGTAAACTAGGCTGATCTCAAACTCACTATGTAACCCAGGCTGGCCTTGAATTCATGGTAATCTTCCTGCCTCAGCTTCCTGAGTGACAGGATTACAGTTGTGCGCCACCATGCCCAGCTAAAATTGCATCTTAAAGCTTGCTGAGCACTCATGGACTCAGCCCTGTTCAATTTTAATTTCTTTTCTTAAACTTCACTTCACCTGAACTATTTCGTTTTTTAACTCTTACCCATTCCTAAGTAATTATCAAGCCCCTATAGTTCTACAAGTGTTTGTATTTGGTTTAGGTTCCAGACTTGATTTTTGTATTTTTTACTTTGATAATCTCTCTCTGTTGACTCAAATTAATCATAATAACTCCTTTGATTGAGTGACAAACCTAGGGATACTTTCTTCTTACAGACTGTACTCACAGGCAGATTTCTCTTCACAAGCAAAACTAGACTCTTCCGGTAAGCTGGGAAAGTATTAGCTAATAATGGAGACTTGACAGATTTAGGTTTTTTGTTTGTATTTCCTTTTAGTTACATCTTTATTTCTACCTTTAGAAATTAATAAGTACTTATCTGATTCATACTTAAATTTTTTTCCTGTTTTGGCCTGAGTGCCTCCATTCCACATATAGTCAGGCTCTTCATAGAAGAAAAAAATGTCAAGTTTTACATCATCTTTTCCCTGGAAGGATAGTTCCAAGCTGTCTTCCACCTAGGGAGAAGATGAAAACCATTTTTTTAAAAAAAGAAAGAAAAAGAGTCTAATATTTTATATAGAATATTAATTCTAAGATGCATGTTTGCTTTTGGAGTAGCATGGAAATTGGGGTGTGTCACAACATCATTTACTTTTTCTTAAATGCACGTAAAGTAATTCTTATTACAACTAATGAACCTCAGAGTAACTGTCTTATGGTAGTTAAAATTATCAGTCTCCAGAGAAAATAGAAACGTCACAACCTAGAGTCCCTTTCTGACTAAAGAAGGAAAGAAACCAAAGAAAAATTACTTCCTTTAAGAAACCAAGAAAAACTATAAGGAAATAAATCTAACATCCCAGGCAATAAATAATTAAGTGGTATTATATAGAGCCATATACATAACACCAATCATTATCAAATACATGAAAAAAAAAGAAATTGAGAGCATTTCCCTTAAGAAACATCCTATAAATAATTATGCTCCTATTGGACCTGGTGCATCTGTTATAGTACCAGTCATATAATAATTTATGTTTTTTCCCTTCCCAATCAGGCAGTTAAGTTCCTCAAGGGCAAGAATTGTAGGAATTTATTCATCTTTGTGTAACAGCAAATGTTTGGTGAATGTTTGCTGAATGACTAAGCTCTATTACTTTTTTGACCTCAGGATAAAATTTGATTCAACTATTTTAGTACACTAGAATCATTATTTATGATAGGAGCAATAAATTTATAGGAACTAAACATATTTCTTTTGTTTTGTTTTGTTTTGTTTTTTTGGTACTGGGGATCAAACTTGGGACCTTGCGCCTGCGAGGCAGGCAGTGGAACCAATGAGCTAAATCCCCAGCAGAACTAACATATTTCTACTTGCTTTGCAGGATAATACCTCCCAGGAAACAAGCAAATTAAGCACAAGATGATTACAAGGGATCATGGACTTAGGAGAAAGAATCAAACTGTCTAGAGCAAGTCTGTATCTAGACCACGATGACCTATCTCTGGCTGACCTCTAAGGAAACTTCTATAACTCAGGACACGTGCAATAAACAAGAAATTCAAGTTCTGCCCTTAGCAATCAATAGAACATTTATGTTTATAATTATAATCACATCCATTCCTAAGTGAAAATAAAATTATATGATTCATGAGAAACAATACAACTTCACACAGAGTGAGTGGGACTCTGCTTTTTATATTTATTTTATTTTGAATTATATTATTGCCCAATACAGTGGGAATAAATTCATTTACAAAAATCCAGTATCCTTCTTTCCTTATTATCAATTAAAAGCCTGACTTTCTAGGTTTTCCATAAATAGTGCAGAAATCCCAAGTAGTAACAAGCTTCTGCTGAACCCATCCTTGGTTAATACTGAGTGATAAAATTACATAAGTGTTCTTAACCATGTCTGAGTTCTTTTTATAAATTTTACAACTGAGACATATTATTTACAAAAGAAAGGGAATTTTTGTTACTGACCTTCCCAAACTTGTGTTTGAGTGGAAGTCCTGCCTCCTGAAATGCTAAAATAATATCAGATTTGTAATCTTGTATAAAAATCCCTAGGTCGACATCTTTGCTATAAGGAATGATACTGCACTGCCGATACCATCCTAAAAAAAGAAAGGGCATAAGGTTTTTTTAAAAAAATAAAATCTGAAAAAATCAGTCATCTTAATGGATACTCTTTAAAACAGTGGGTTTAAAAAAACAGTGGATTTTATTTCACAGAATTAATTTACAGTTTTGTCAAAATTATTTTTTAAAAAATAAATCCCAAACTAAAAGATGAGTTATAGGAATCACCTCTTAAAGAACTTCTTTCTCGCTTCTATATATCTATGTATCCAACCTACCTACCTACCTATTTATATTTCTTCACTGGTCTGAGGACTCAAACTTCCTCTAAAACTTTCATGATATATTTTAATTTCTAAATAAACCATTATTTTTATAATATGTTCACTGGGCCATCCATTTTAAAAAGTTCAGCTGCTGTTTAGAATGGTTAATCATTAACATTTAGTGATGTAGCCTACCATCATTTAGCCATCATTTAACATTTAGTGATGGAGATATGCTAAAATACTTAGTTCTCTTAATTCTTCAGTATACCTTTTCTGAGTCAATAAGTTGCAGAATTTAACAGCTCATATCTGATGGATCACATAAAAGAGAAGAAGTATTAGCTTTATTTTTTTCAATACATTCAAAACATTGCTAAAACTTTACTATATATGTACTTCTCAACTAGCTGCTATAGCATTCTTCTAAAACAAAATACCCTAATATTTCTAAAGATTCCCAAGTCTTCCCTTTTATCCTACCAACCTTCTACCCAAATTATTTAAAAGTAAATACAATTGTAGACTTGTAAAGTAGTTACAAATATCATAACAGGCCCTGCTACTGGGGAATATTATTTGGAATTCTAAAAGAATTCTATCAAGTAATTTTAAAGTATTAAGAATGGAAGACTCCTGTGTCATCTAATACAACTCCCTCATTTCATAAATGCCTTTAAATCAAGAAAACCAGGGAGCTAAAACCTCAAAATGATTAATAACAAATTATTAAGAAATATTTTTGATAACACAGATGACAAAACAATCTTGCTTCTAAAAAGTTAAATTTTAAAGCAAATATTACATAAGTGTGTGAGGAAATGTTCCTTTTTTTTTTTTTTTTTTTTTGCTTACTCTAACGTTAGGCTCCTTGACAGGAAGAACCATGAAATCTTCTACACAGCCTAAATAGGATAACCATATACCCTAGTTTACACTTATTGTACCAACATAATTAATTAAGACATTTTGTTTCATTCTCAATTCAGTCTCGTGAATTAGCCAGGCATGGTGGTGCAGGCCTATAGTTCGAGCACTCAGGAGGCTGAAGCAGGAGGATTGCTGTGAGTTCAAGGCCAGCCTGGGCTACATAGTGAGACCTTGCCTCAAGAAAAATAAAGTGTCCTGAATTGGACAATAAATTATATGGGAACTATAAAATCAAGAAATGAATTAACTTTTGTGCAAGTACAGTCCAAATCAACTACAGTTACAATGAAGATGGAAAAAAATAACAGAATTTAAGATTCTAAATAATTTTAAATTTGAAAGATTTATCTAATGAATAACAGTTAAAGATCCAGAAATTGTTCTCAGATTCTAATAGCAACTTGCCTAAGGCCACAGAAAAGTCTGTACTTTCCCACTTCAGATGAACAGTGATGTCTAATTAGTGATACTATCATGACCTGGAAAAGGTTTATAGAGACAATTTATGATACTCCTTTCAGTCTTCTTCTCCTTAGAAACTTTCGGTGTGATGCAAGCTGGCTGTATGATGTATAAGTAAAAGAACAGAGTACACTTTTTTTTAAAAAAGGCAGCGACAATTTTTAGGAAAGAAATAAAATAAGTAAAGGTTTTCCTGAGAATCAATTATAGTCTATATGTTCTGATATCAACTTCATACACATTACTTATTATTTTTAATAAACACAGATATGACCTTCCTAAGAGTCTATTTTATATTTCCGAAATTTATTTCTTTAAAGAAGCAACAGATTCTTGCTCGAGGTACTATTTATTGTCTCTGAATATTACACTTCAAATATCACTACTGTTTTGTCATCAAGCAGTCATCCCTAAAGACAAAAAGGGTGAAACGACAAGAAGACAAATGTAAACCAACAAGAATCTTACCTAGACAAGTTCCACTGCTCAGCCAGAATCGTATTCCTAATTTGTTTAATGTTTTGGCTGCTAGTTGCAGTAATTCCTTTGCACTCTTCTGAAAGGTCATAGCTTCCACAGTGTTATCATCAAGGTACTGCTATAGATTTAATAGACCATTAGCTATTACTGCCATTTCCAAATTGCTAGAAAATTTTTATGACATCTGAATTGTTTCAAAATTAATGCCATATTACCTCTTTTTTCTGTTATAAAAATCAAGCTTATAGTTTTCTTAGTCACACATTAAAATAAGAATACACAAGTAGATTCTAGGAGAGACCAGTTAAAAAGGAAAGAATATAACTAAGATTCCCAAGGGATGAGACCCAGACCTTCATCAGCTAGCTTTCTCCTTCACATTGTAATTTAGCAGACTGGGCAGTTATGAGACAAGAAAGCTAATTATGAGCTACAAGCATAACTGAAACAAAATAAATTAAATGATGTTTTTATCCTTTATTGATGCTACTAGTCTTTACCGACTGTTTAATAAAGTAGAAAGAGTATGGTGGATTTTAAATTAGATAATCTGTATTCAAATCTAGTACCATTTCTTCCCAGCTGTGACACCGGGCATATTGTCTCTAAAGAATATAAGCTTCATTTTATTTATCACGTATCTTCAGTGCCTAGAACAGTGCCTGAATATTTGTCTAATGAATGAGAGAATGAAACATTAAACAAACTTGTCTTATATATCCAATTTCCTCATGTATAGTTTAAGGGTAATAATTACAATTTGCAGGACTGCTGTAAAGATTTAAGGAGAAAAATGCCTTGCAAAGTATGAAGGTTTATAACAAATATTACTGCCATCTATGTAGCCATTTTGCTCTTCTGGTTTTCTTCAGTTTTACTGTTCTGGGACTGAGAAAAACACTCTAAGTTATTCAATGATGCTTTACTATGTATGGAACAAAAATTGAAACTACTTGGCCTAGCAGACTAAGACAACTGGTCCCTGAAAATTGGCCTAGCCTTGTCTCCACCTTACATATATTTAATATTACAGCACCCCCTCCATTTACCATACCTCTTCTCTGCGCCTTTATATATGTTGCTTTCTCTGTCTGATATGCACTTAACTAACAACATTTTTTAGGTCTTAGCTCCAGCCTCTGAGAAATTCCCTGATTTCCCTGATTTATATGTTTTTATTCTCCTGTGTCCCCCTTCACTTCAGCATTTATGGAGCAAAGAATTACATACAGTACTAAACATACAAAGATAAGCAAAACAATCTGTTCCTCAATGAGCTTGTAACAGTTTATCTAATATATACTTTAGTAAATTATAATTGCTGATTTTATTTCCAGTCCCTCTACTGGACTGTACAGATGGTCCCATAAGAGCAGATACCATATCTCTCCATCTCTTTATATAAGATTTAGAATGCTGCCTGGCATGTATGAGTAACCTGTGACCAATTCGGATTGAAGAGTGGGAAATGAATAAATGATTGAATAAGGCCCTCCTATACTTACAATATCCTAAAACATACTATGATTCTTTTATAATATATCAGAATATTATAGTTTCTAGATATACATCCTAGGAATTATAAGGACTAGAAGGACTATAGGGATCTTGAGGGAAAAGTGCCTCTATGAAAGAAGTGTTTCCTATAGATAAGTTGCAATCTATGGAATATATAAGTTACAAAAGGATTCCCTCAATATGGAAACATCCCTTCTCAGAGCTATAATTTCTTTTAGAACACAGGCTGGAATGAGAGATCCATGTTCTTATGCTTGTTGTAGTAGAAAAAGCCTGGAGTTAGGAGTTTGGAGGCCTAGGTTTAGTCCATCCTCAGCCAATAATGGCTGTGTAAGTGGCATCTTGAAGCACTGATTTTCTTACCTACTAATGGAGAGTACTCACCTTATCGTACAGACTAACTTAAAAGACCAAATTAAATAGATACAGAAACTTTGTCCTCTACAAAAACATTATGTCCTATTGAGCCTGCCCCCTGTATGCACGTATTCCTATATCTTCTCTAATATGACATTTTCAGAAACTCCAGGTCTTAAAACTAACCTTTACATTTGTTAATGTGCCCACATGTATACACCCGTATATCTTATGTATGTGTTATGGAATTAAGAAATTATATTGTACATACTTTTTTCTTTTAAAAATGACTTGTATATGAGGCATGACAAAATAGTGAATATTTGAATTTTTAAAAATTACAGTAAAAGATACATTGCCATTAGTTTTCCTCAAAATTTTTCCTATCACTTTGAACACACATATCCCACCATCCTCCCTAACTATCTGAAGCAGACATTTTCATGAATGTCTTTAGTTGTGCTGTCATGCCTACTTCAATGTCTTGAATTTATTAAAATGGCCTTCATGGTCATTTTGTCTTTGAGGAAGAGCCAGAAGTCACATGGTGCCAGATCCAGTGAATAAAGTGAATGAGGGTATACCATAATATTTTTACAATCCTGCCTTTCCACTGGACAGCACTCAGCAGAAGCATTCACTGTATTTTTGTTTATGCCTCATAAAAATACAAAAGAGGACATTCTGAAGTACTTCAGAAAGTGACAAGAATGATGGAGTAAGTGAGTTTGAAGCTAGTGGGGAGTATTTTGAGGGTAATTAATGGCAATGTATCTTTTACTGTAATCCTTAAAAAATTAAAATATTAACCATATATTTTAGTCATACCTTGTAAATCTTGGGATTACCCAGCCTCTAGAAAAACACAAAATTTAGTATCTTAATTTAAATGTTATTCCCATTTAATCCTTCCTGTTCTGCCAAAAATGGACACACAAAACCAGTAATACTGGATCCAAAGTACAACCCGCTCCCCAATATCAAGAATAACAAGATGACAGAAGGCACCCATTCTTTCACAGATGAGGTAACCAAGGCTCAAATTTTTCCCCAAGGTATCAGAACAAGAATATAGCTGTGTAGGTACTCCTAGGCGAAGTGTTCAGATATTTTCACATTCCCTTCTGGTTTTTCACTGAAATTCAGCAGGCTAATGCTCATTTATTATTTTGTGATTTTTAAAAATGTGTCTTTTTCTCTGAATTAAAATCAAGTTCAGGAAAATGTATATCATCCTAATTCTGAGCTTCTTGGGTAGATTCAGAAAATAATTAAAAGTAAATTGAGTCAGAACAATTCCTGGAAGTAAAGCTAGCAGACAGCATTTTAATCTTGAGAAAGATGTGAACAATAACAGTAATGGGAGTGGGTTGCCGCCATTTTAAGAGAAATGTAAGTCTCATTTTACTCAGCCCGGAGAGGACAAGTGTCGCGGGACGACATGTCAGCAAGCTGCAGAGGACACAGAAGACACGTCAGCCGCCATTTCTTCAACCCGCCCCCTCAGAGCCCACCAGGAAACGCTACAAAGAAGCCCGTTCGCCTGAAAGAGACTCACATCACACAGAGCGATCCCTCTCAGGGTTAGCAATAAACCTTGGGGTGTTGGGTTCCTGTTCCCTCTTTCCTGCTCATCTGGAACAGCCTGTGAGACCAAAGTAACTCCATTTTGCTTATGTGAGACCAGAATGACTCCATTTTGCCCCAAATGGAGTAGTCTCCTTTGTCCTCTCACATTAATGATTAAAATGTGCTTGATCTAGGACAAAAGACACAATCTGTAACACAAGATTCCTAAGTGTATTACTCAGCCATCTGTTTACCCAGGAAATGAACATCCTGGGCCCACTATCTGTAGGAACAATCTGTCAATGAGCTGACTGTCAGTACTGGGTAGTCATGACCATTAGTCACCATGTCTGCTGACCATCAATACGTGACAGTCGCCCACTAACCTTTGTCCTTCTTTTCTTTTGTAAAACATATACGTAATCACCCCTTAACCCTGATGAGTTCACCCAATCAGAAATGTACACTTCATGCATGTTAAGCGCTGACCAATCATTGTAATTGCTAAGTGGAAAATCTCCAAACCTTGCTGTAACCTCTATAAAAACCCCACTAATTTGGAACTCGGGGCTCTCACTCTCGATCCGCTGTGCCGGTGACAACTGAGAGTCCCTGCTTAAGCTTGAATAAACGACCCTCGTGTGCTTACATCGGAAACGGCCTCCTGGTGGTCTTTGGGACTTCGCAATCTGGCCACAACAAGCCTGACATGTGGCTTACTGTTCCTAGGTATCTGCTCAATGAATCAACTTCATTTTGCCTCTCAGAAAGCTGAGGCCTGGAATGGTTTGCTACTTTGCTCAAGGTCATACAGCTCAGAAGATTCCGCCTGACCCAAGTCTCAGCCACGACGCTGTTTTTCCTAAGAGCAGATCGATAGACATTGGCCTGTTTGAGTGGCCTGGTGTCCACTGCAGTCATTTCCCACGGGGACAGACTGACTCTTGCATTGTTATTGCGCAAAATCAAGAACAGGCTGATTAGAAGAAAGAGTGTTGGCGTTGACAAAAATTAACTCTGAGGAAACTTTCCTGTTTAAGAGAACAACCTGTGAAAAATTTCAAATCCAACAGTGTCAGTCCTAGCATATTTTACAACTTTTGTAAATAACTCTTTGGTTGTGTGCTGAATTGTGCCCCTCCCCAATTCAAATGTTGCAATCCTAACCCTCTGTACCTCAGAACATGACTGCATTTGAAGACAAGCTTTGTAAAGAACTAATTATGGTTAAATGAGGTCAAATAGGTAGGTCCTAATCCAATTCAGCTGGTGTCCTTGTAAAAAGAGAAGATTAAGAAACACACACACACACAAACACACACATGAGACCACGTAAGAACACAGGGAGAAGGCAACATCTGCAGGCCAAAGATAGGCCTCAGAAGAAACCAACCTTGACCGTGGATTTCCAGCCTCCAGAACTATAAGAAAAAGAGTTTCTGTTGTTGATATCACTTAGTTTGTGATATTTTAATGGCATCACTAGCAAACTAGTCATACAATCAAATAATAATTTTATACAGAAAAGAACTGCACTAGAGAAAAACTTTGCTTGAAAGCTATGTGTGTAAGCAGTAATTAAAATTTAAAAAACAAAAGTGAATTAATACTTTCAACAATATTAATTGTATTTGGAGAAACAAAAGGAAAGAGATTTCCAAAATGTTTTCTGAAAGAATTCTGTGTTGATCTGCATAGTACTGAGAATTTGGAGCAAAAAGAACACAAACAAGGCCAAAATGGAAGTAACCAAAGTTCTTTCCCTTCGTAAGATCAGTGCGTCATTGCCTACTTCCACTCTACTGTTAAAATGAAAGAATGCGTGAGAGCATCAGAGAAAACTCCATCTAACAGTGTGCAAGTATCATGTATTTTGTTGTAGCAATGGTAAAGCTGATTAAAACAGAAAATTGGTACTGGAATGGGATCGCTGCTGTGATTACACCTGACCATGTGGTTCAGGAGCTTTTGGAACTGGTTTGCAGGAAGTATTTGCGAGTGTTTGGAGATACCAGTTAGAGAAGCTGTAAAATGTTGAAGATAGAGCTTGATTGATGATATCCTTCAGAGTTCAAAAGACTGGAATGCTGATAGGGATGTGGGCAATAAAGGCCAGGCTCAGGAGATTCAGTTGTGAAAAAGGACTTCCACTGTCAATTGAACAAGAAGCCATGTGTTTTATAATCTGGCATAAAATTTGTCTACATTTTGCTCATGTTCTGAGATTTTGTGGAAGAATGAGATTAAGAGTGGTGGACCTATTAATCTGACACAATAAATTTCAAGGCAGCCAAATATTCAGGCTATGGCAGAAGTATTTCTGGTTTTTAAAATCCAGATCTATTGTAAGAAGCAGGTGCAGAAAGCAGAACAGAATGATTTGAAAAACCTGCAGTTTCACTAGAAAGGAAGTGCCTATAAAGTTGGGGCAAAGGACAGCATATTTGCTGAAAAGACTATTATTAAAAGAGAAGCAAAATATCTTGTATCAGAACAATAGAACAGATGCCTTGAAGGCATCTTGGGAAATAGCAAGACCCCACCCAGCTCCCTTCTGAAGAAAGCCTGTATGGGGATATTGTTCTGTGGTATTTATTTCACCATCCTCAGCCATCCAAAAACAAGCAGTAGATAACTGTATTATCTATTTGGTGTCTATTTTTCATCCATGGAGAAAACATGGATATTTTGGAGTGATGGAGCCTTCTACCTTGATGACAAAATGTGACCTGGAAAGTCAGGCAGTGAGCCTCTGAAAGGGAAGTACATGAAGCTGTGAGAATGAGGCAGATGAAGCAGTGAAGACTCCAGGTAGAGATGCCAGGAATAAGGAATGTCTACTTACAAAATCTACAGGCAGTGAGTGAAGCCAGCTAAAAAGAACAATCATGTGGGTTGCAACCAGGAAGGTCATGGACTGCGGCTGCTCAAGCACTTTGGAGTTCACATCCAGCCACAACCTGCCATAGATATTGATCATGGAGCAATAGGTGTTTCAGTCTTGCTTTTGTCACATTCCTTTGTTTCTCCTACTTTCTTTTTGTAATGGGAGTATTTACCTTGTGGTATTGTATGAAAGAAATATTTAACTTAGCATTTTATTTTACAGGGACTCACAGCTAAGAGTTTTCTTTGAGTTTCACAAGAGAATTTTGGCCTTGGACTTTCCAACAATGCTGAAACTGTAAATGCTTTGATGGCTCTTAGAGATGAGCTAAATACACTTTATATAATAAGAGGGATGTGAGCCTTTTGGGGCTGAGTATCAGAATGTTATAGTTTTTATCTAAAAAGTCCCCCAAAAGTCTTGTGTTCAGAGATCAGGCTTTTGGAAGGTGATTGGTTCATTGTGACACTATACTCATTAGTGGATTAATCCACTGATAAATTCAGGGCTGACTGTGCTACATAGAGGTGGTAAGGTAGGAGATTAGGGCATAGCAAAGAGACTGAACTATTGGGCATGACCTCTCATTCATGGAGAGCTGTCAATTAATGGCAGAGATAAGCTTCCAACAGCTTACATCTGACATCAAAAGAAAATATAAAAGATAGCAGTCACCAAATTTGCTGCCTCTGCCCTCTTATTTTTGTAGTTTGACATAATGTATGCAGAGCATATCTTTTCTTCTCTTTAGAGTATTTCTTGAGCTCTTCTTTTTATCCTTCTATTACCTTTCTTTTTACCTTTAAATAAATGTTAAGCTTTCACTTTCAAAAAAAAAAAAAAAGTAATGGGAGAAACCAAAACCAAGCAACATCTGATAGGATACAATGAGAAAGAGTACAGCATTGTTTCTGTGTTATTCCTTCTAAAGATGTTTAATCTGAATCTAACAAAAAGGAAAACCTTATAAGCACCAAATAAAGGACACTTCACAGAATATCTGGCCTAGAATCTTCAAAAGTATTGTAGTCATAAAAGTCAATAAAAGTAAGAAACTGTCCCAGATTAAATGACAAAAAAACCCCACAACAAAACAAAAACCCCCAAAACTATGAAAATTGGTACAATATGTGATTCTAAAATGAATGCTTTTATTATAAATTCATTAATGGAATATTTAGAAAAATTTGAATGAGGATTAAGTGACAATAACCTATGTGTTAACTTCTTAATTTTTGTATTAGATCATGTAGGAGAATGTTATTTTTAATTATTTGAGGCTGATCTATAGTTTTCTCCCAAAAGGTTCAGAAAAAAAATTTTATTTGTATTGTATTTCCAACTTTTAGCTAAGTCTGAAATTGTTTAAAAAATCATTCAAAAAAAAGAAGTTAGGCTGTTTCATAAAGTTTAATACATCAGCTCATTGTTTTACACTGAGCATTCGTTGTATTTAACACTGGCGCCCTCAAGCGTTCAAATATATGTATGTTCACTTTAATTTGAAAATGGACCCTCCTATTTTTAATCAAGCTTTTAACATAAGAAATGATGAAGAATGAAACATTTAGTAGGATAAAGATTTTGAAACATTATCATTCCCATTAGGTACTCTGTATTAGTAATGCCAATACAACAGCAGGAGAGAAAAACAAATTAGGAATCACAAATCTGCCTTGCTGCAAGGGAAGGATACAGAAAACCATGACGAATGAATATAGTTTCACCTGATCATGTCATGAATATAAACTTCCAGACAGCATTAAAGTCTTGTTATCTGATGTAATTTTAAACACTGCCCTTAACATTTCAAAAAACAGAGTATGACAGACTCCAAATGATTTCTCAGTATTGTGAAACATTTTACATTTTATACTGCCTTCTCACCAAATGAGAAGAGCAAATGAGTAAAGGCAAATCTTTGTTAGGTGGACATCTTCAACCTTGCGAGGTTGGAGTAGTTCTCGTAAGGGTCCTTTAAAAAATCACTTGATTCTGACGAGCACCTTATTTTCTATGCATTTTTTCATATTTATAGGATCTTTTCTTTGTGCCAGGTAGTGTGACAGATACTTGGATTACAGAGGTGAATAAGAGGTTTGTTATCAAGTTCAAATAACTTAGTAGGGGGCAAGACAGACATTCATAACGCACCATGGTAATTACTATGATAGAGGTAGCAAGCAGAGCAAGCTCCCTTAGGGCAGGAAGAGTGAATGATTAAATTTAAGCACAAAACCTTGTCCTCTTCTACCTCCTACCACTAAGTGGTGGGAATGTATCAGGTAGAATTTGCTTACTAGAGTAAGCCCATCCACACATGCAGTTTTCTAGGTTTTCCTCCATTAGGCTTACTAAGTTTTACAGCCTGACAGCTATAAATTTAAAGGAAGAGAGCTAAGAAAGCTTATTTGGACTGTCAGGCCTTGGATGCCAGCACATCATACTGAAGAAATCTAGCATTTGTAGGTCTTGGCCATTTGGTGGCAATATAAAAGAGTGATATTTCATATTTTTCATTCCATTCTTGTCCTTGTGTATATAGCTTTCTGGGTAATAAAAGGCAGGTACACAAAATAGAAGGCAGGTACAAAGATTAGAGTACCAAAATCCCATTGTCAATTTATGTGTTTTCACTATATCTGTGGTTTCATGTTATCTCTTAAAAGTTACTTTCATGCACTTTAAAATCATCTTTATATCGCCAGAAACTTGGAAATAAGCTTTCAATAAATATTTATTGAGTTGAATAACAAAGCAGCAGAAAAAAGTAAACTACTTGGTCTTTGCGTAGCATGTCTTCAAAAAACTGCATAAGCAAAAATTTTCATATTCAGTGCCAAACTTGAGAAAATTTGTATTTTTTCATCAAGTCTGTTCTAAATCTACAAGGTCCATCTTTTCAGTGGCTTGGATTGCTTCCAAAAGAGAATTCACCATCTTTATAAAGTTCATGAGTTGTAACCAAAGGCAGAGGCCAATGCTAAACCTATCAAAATCTATTCAAATAAAACAATAAATATCAGCTCATCCTTTTAGGAAAGAAGTGGTTTTTCAGCATTAATTTTTAATAAAAGTTAAAAGAAGAAAACAAATCAGGAGAAAATGGACAAATTTAAAACTATGTCTTACCTGATTTCCAAAAGTCCCTTCAGTCCCTCTGCCTGAATTTTTAAAAATAAACACATTTCCTTAATTTAAAAAGTACATTATTTGTCTCTAACCTGAAAGAATGTTCGAGCTTCCTTATACTTGCACTCAATAAATCTAGAGTGTGGTATTTCTTCTAGAAAGTGCGCTGGATCTTTTGGAATGAGAACTTCTAGTCCATCTATAGTAACTTGCTGTAACTCTGGTCTGAAAACAGAGTTAAAATGAATTATAAGGATTTAATTCAGAATACTAGCAGCCTCTTCAAAAATATTAAACACTAGGAATATTAAACAAAAACTAAACTAATATTAAACTAAAATATTAAACACTATAGCTAAACTTCAAATATTTTTTCTTCAATTATCTTGGGCAGCAACTAGGAACTAGAAAGCCTCAAAATCTGGCATCAAACTGCAACTGAGTTTTAAGTATTGTGGCTCATGTATTTTAAAACACTTTTAGACTTATTCATATGTACTTTGTTATTTTTAGAAGTGACAATTTTAAATTACCAATTTACTTTTGGAGCAGTAAATGTTTTTAGCACATAAGACACATAAGTAAATTACAATAGTCTCAGGGTCTCATTACATGCAAAATGCTGAGGATTAGTCTTATACCCTTCTGGACCCCACATTCTGTAAATATTCTTTAAGACTTTTCCATTCTTCTTTATATAAACTATACAACGGCCGGGGATATAGCTCAGTGGCACAGCGCATGCCTGGCAAGTGCAAGGTCCTCAGTTTGATCCCTGGTACCCGGGGAAAAAAAGAACAAACTATAAACTATACAGTGTAGAGGTAGTTTTTATCTATGGGCATGCATATTTTACAGATGTTTGTTGACTGACAATTTTTAATTTAACTGACTAAACTCTGAAACAAGGCTTTAAAAACTAAAAGAAAATGTCTTACAAAGACATTATTTGAAATATAGAATAAGAAAAATGTGCATAACTTTTTACAGAATAGAGCTAAGGTTTTGACAAAAATAATGAGGGGCCATTATTAACAACTATTTTCCTCCACCCCTATTCCTCCTTTGTTCATTTTATTCCTAAAAATCTGGCTTGGTTTAGAAAAAGTTTGACTTCATAAATACCAAAAATGGAGATGGCTTTAGTTTTAAATACCTTTTCCAGTTGTTTTTCAAATATGTGAATAAATATGCTCTTATAGTTCTTAAGTGTAACAGATAAACATGGTCTCTAGAAGTTACCAAGAAAGGTGTTCAATATGAAAATTTCCACAAGGATGGTAAACTTTAAGGCAAAAGACAAATGTTTACTTCTACCTTCACATCACATTCTGGTATTTCAAGCACAGTATAACATCATTATCAGTGACTTCAAATGGGAAACAGATGTACAGCTCTAGGTTACAAACATATATTTGTTGTCTAATTTCAAGAATGTTTTTTTCATCCTGCAATTGATAAATTTTATGCAAGTCCCTTCATATAACTGTTTCTCAGAAGAAATATTTTTATTGTTGTAATAGATAAGGATATATTTTGCAGTTTTAAAAAAATGTAAGTACTTAATCCATAATGGCACAAAATAACGAATTATAAAACTCAAGCCTCCATCACAGAAATTGAATCTTTTCTGCTTCCCTGAAGTTCTGTGCGTATCCTAAACCAACCTCCTCCGCTGCCATGTTTGTTTATCCTTTTACTGTTAAAGGATATTTGGGCTGCCTTTAACTGGGAAGACTATGAACAATGTTACTATGAACATTCAAGTAAATTACATATTAGATCTCATTAGAAAATGTAAAAAAAGTATGAGAATTCATGACTCATTTCATATTTCTCCTTTTGGCTCTAAACTTACCTGTCAAAAGCTCCAGGGTAATGACCAAACTGCAACTTTCGAAAAGGAACAAATTTCCTGTCAATGTGTCCCTTGAGTCGTAGATGACCATGCCAGAGGTAGTTGCCACTTCTCCCATGAAAGACCACCAAATGGATGGCATGAGTGGCCCATTTACAGATACAGTGCAGAGGGATTTCAGTTCCAGAAAGTGAGTCTATCCCATCTAGCCGAGGATCTTTGCTCTCAGTCTTTAGGCACTGAAATCCCATATTCTCAGCTACAGGAAACCAGCCTTCCTAAAATCAAATAAACATCAAGCCTGAATATTTAAAACCAAATAATAGTAGCAACACTAAAGTAGCAAAACTAAATTCAAGTTTTACACTGAATTAAAGCCATATTTCTGTTAATTTGGTCCTTGCCAAAAGATTTTAAAATGAAAACGAGAAATTAGAGACATTTATTGCTAAATGGATGCACATTGAGGCAATACTCTTAAGTGAAATAAATAGGACAAACGTGTAAATACCGAATAGTTTCTCTAGTGTGAGAAACTGAAAGTGTAAATAAGGACTAAAAGGTATAATAGGTAATGTGAAATAGGAAGAAAAGGGGCAAAGGGGAAGGGCAAGTAGGAGGGGTAGAGGAAAGGAAAGAAGGAAATGGAATTAGTATGAGAAAATGAAAAATGGAAACAAAGTCTTTGTAAATAGGGAGGGATGGAGGGGTTGAAGGGAGGGCAGGGAAAGGGGGAAAAAATAAGAACAAAGAGAGTATGTAATGGTGCATATCTCCCATGATGAATGTCATTATATTGTATACCTAAAATGTACCAATAAAAGGATATACAAAAAAATATAAAATGAAGGTCATGAGCAGAAGGTAGTGGTGAGAGAATAAAGGAAGTAGCTAAAAGAGAAACTATGTAGCACACAAGGTATGTTCAAGGATTCTCTTTATGAAAATTAAATTGATACAAATTTCTTCCTTGAAATGAGAAAGTTCATTTTAGGGTTCTCTGGCTGGTTCCTGAAAGTAAATGCTAATATCAGGAACACTTAAATTAAATTTCCAATTATGAAATCCTAACACTTTCAATGTTATAACAGAACCCCATTATAGTTAAAACAAACTGAAAAATACTACAGATAAAGTAGTATTATAGATTAAAGTATTATGTATTAAAGTAGTATTATAGATAAGGAAAGAGAATCACAGAAGTCAATTTTCCTAAAGAAAGACAGTAAGATACAAAGGCACTATAAGCATTTAAGTCTTTTCCAACCAAAATCTAGGTCTTTTCCACTAACACTACTTCTCTAGTTTATATAACCACAGAAACTATGTGAGATTCGCAGGGGAGATATTATTACACCTAGTCTACAGTCATGAAAAATAAAACTCTAAGAAGTAATACCAGATATTAAGGTTATAAAATGATGGACTGGGTCTTGAAGTTTGTCTCATTGCCCATTACATTCAGAAACATTTTTCAAGAGCGCTTTCTTCCTATCACTTACTGCCTTTTAGTGTTGCCATCTGAATTAGTTGTAATTTCATCCATGCTCTCATAAAACATAGACACTTCTATGATACTATTTATTGTATTATTTTTAAATTGTTTGTTTAAATGGCTAAACTCCACTAATAGATTCTAAGTTCCTCAACCACATGTATCAACAGTATCTAGAACCCAACAGGTAATCAACAGGTATTTTTGTTGTTTATGTTGTTAAAATAAAAGAAAGTGATTGAGTCTGGTAGATAGTGCTAATTAGTACCAGTCAATGTCTTCTCCTTTCTGTTTTCTTTTTTGAGACAGAGTCTTGCTATGGAGTTCAGGTAGGTCTTGAACTCACAGTAATCCTTCTATCTGAGCCTCCTCAGTGCTGGAATTACAGGTGTGTACCACCATATCCAGCATCCTTTCTGAATACAGAACTAACTTGTGTTCTGGTCAAAGAAATGTAGACAGACATATCATACACTACTTCAAGGCCCTGAAAATATCCCCACAATCCTATGTTCTCGTTCCATTTGCATGTATGAAAGAAAATAACTCCAAGATGAGAAGACCATATAAATGAAACAGCCTGTGTTACTGCCTATAGGAAAGTTGCCTAGAAATATCCCTGATCAGAAACATCCTCAATGGATTTTGTGTAAAGACAAATATTCCTTTCTTGTGCTGAGTTAATGAAATTAAAAGGCTGTTTTTAAGAGCAACCAATGTAACCTACTCTAGCTAATGCAATTTTGCCTTGTTTCTCCAGAATTATCAACTGTAAAGTTTATCTTTTCTTTCATGATGCACCTAAGAAGTAGAAAGCACTGACTGAAGGTGACGGTGACCAATCCAAGAAAAAACATTACAATACTACATAGAATGAAAGGCACTTTAAATTGGTAAATTCAGGAAAAATTAAACAGGCTAGCCAGATCTTGAAAAAAAATCTGACCTTGGTTGAGAGACGAGAGAAAGATGAATAGACAAACTAAGCAGAATTAAAAGGCTTGCCTTCTTAGAACCATAAGAGAGGTCAAAAATAAAGTATTTGCTCTGATCAAGTAAAGATCTGTATCAAGGCTGCAGAAAACTTCTCCCAGTTACCTTGGCAGTGGTTTCCTCACTTTATGTTAACAGTATTAATAAAGAAAAATTGCATGCAAATGAAGTCTACAGTAATTAGAGCTAGTGATCTAATTGGCTCCACCTTGAGAGAAGTTGGAGGACTATTCATGAAGTGTGTCTGATGTCATATGTATAAAGGGATATACTGAGCGACTGTGCTTATTTTGGGTATAGCTGACTTTTGACTGTTCCACTGACACTGGCCATAAGAGTTTTGCCCATTGTACCATATTTCCTTTCCTTCAAAGCAGTAGTTCTCAAGGCAAATGGTACTGTACTTGAGATATTTTGGAAACTTGTGGGGATACTTTTGGTTTATTACAATGATATACCAACATTTAGAGTCACAGGTTAGGAACACTAGACATCCTTTAATCCAAAATATCAAAATGTATCCTGTGTCCTACATAATTTCAGATGTTCTATCAGATGATCACAAAATGAAAAACTTGTTTATAATTAAATGAGCCCCTATTTCATAAAAATAGAATAGTCATGTCAATGAAGAAACATTTTACTCTTTTGTTGTTGAAAACTTGTTCACTATTTTGAAAATTCACATTACTAAGAATAATTTCATTCATACAAGTCTGTAATTGCAGACTTTATATTCTGTGATCTTGCTTATAAATACAAGCATTTGAATTATTTTGTTTTCCAGTATAAAATATACCTGAATATTTAACACTGAAATATACACTACATCCTTTTATTTTCACATAGTTTATATAAAACATTATTTTGATTTGGGGAATTATGTATATAGAAGGGTTATAATTTCTACAAACTTCATTTTCAGAAAATAAAGGACATTATACAATGCTCTTTATAAAAATAGCTTGTAAGTTTTGTAATCTTTTTTTTTTTTCTGGTACCAGGGATCGAACTCGGGACCTTGCACTTGTGAGGCAGGCGGCGGAACCACTGAGCTAAATCCCTGGCCCCCTGAATTTTGTAATCTTTTTCTATGAGAAAATCAAAGAACTCAATAGAGATGACTTATAAGTACTAACATTAAAAGTCTCTCCAGTGAAAACACTGGGACACTCTTATTATCATACAGTAAAGGTCACTGGTCAATGAAGCCTAACTATTAAAAAAGAAAAAAAACCCTTCCAATTAGTTTGCACTCTTTTGTTCTGAAATATGAAAAAACCCCATCAAATATTGTAGAAAACCTACACCAGAAAAATACAGAAGTAGACCTCCCATGAAAGCAAGCAGGCCAGTGCCAAACACATGCTTCCCCCCCAACCCACATGAGCAAGCAGACCCATGCAGGAAAGTGCCTCAGTCCCATGCAAGAAAACAGGCCTGTACTAGATGTGAGGTCCCCAAAAAACAAAGGGCAAGACCATTCACTAACTCCAAGCTGGGTCTACATTTTGGTTCCTCTTGGCACAGGGCAGCAGAGGCGAGGACAATGCTCTGGAGAGAAGAGCAATCAGACCCCATGAATGTTGACATTAAGTCCACTTGAACCCTGGCCCCGTGGCTTACATCCAGTGGAGACCAGAGATCTGATGGTGTGCCCATCTACCAATGGGAGCAAGCACACATCTTGGTTTGGATGGTAACCACTCTGGGATGAACATACAAATGAGCCTCTGGTAGAGGGAGGTCACCACAAAAACCCACAGGCACTAATGACTGACTAGACCTCAAGACTGCAGATCTTGGAAAGAAACTACTTTTTCAAAAATAGGGAAGTAAAAATATGGTGGAGTGGTGAGTTGCAACAACTTAGCCTCTCCGAGATTTGGTATCCAGACTCTGGATAACTTGGAAAAGAAACAGAGAAGTAGTTTCCCAGGAGCCAGGAGGGAACTGACAAAAAAAAAAAAAAGTTGCAAAATATAGAAGAAACAGAACACATGACAGAGCAGGGAAGGGACCCTTTGAACATTCTTGGCAGACTGAGTGGCTGCAAGTGGCTTATCACGGCTATAAGCAGCAGTATTCATGGCTGCAAACAGCTCACTGCAACTGATGTGACAAAGTACAAAGACAAATTTCTTCTCATAGCAGAATGAAATGAGCTGGCAGCAGCTGTGATCTGCAAGAGCACAAGATTCTGCTACCAGTGTGTCCTTCTACAGACAACAGCTGGTGATGACCTTAATACAAGTACCTGTCTTTCCCTGAAGAGAGTGCTTGCTGGGACACCAGTCTGGGGACATGCTGAGAGTTTGAACTTCGGACTCAGAACAGACACTTGGCTCTGGGGCTCCCAGTGTTACAAAAGGGTGAAGGACAACCACGGTAGAGAGACAGTGAGCAGACAGCAGGCTGGAAAGAGTTTTCCCAAGGGTTTGGGGCTAAAGAACACAGACTCAGGTCTTGTGGCCAAAGGCCAGGCTCAGGCTGAGCTGCACGGGATTTGCAAGTCAGTATCAGCACTTTTGCCATATTATCCACTGATGCCTGTATCCAGCAGGGATATGGGGTCTGACTACCTTATTTATCTACCAGTATGAGCAGGGAAACATCTTGACTGGAACACTACCCCAAAGCTAGATTCTTAAAGAAAGTCATGCAGCCAAAATAACAAAAAATTTTCTCTTTTTTGCCTGTTTCTTTCTTCATATTTTTCTTATTTTTCCATTTTTTTAATGTGTATTTTTTCTTTCTCCTTTTTTCTTTTATCTTAGTTTGTAGAGGGTA